GGGCAGGGTGGGCACTTTCCCATGCTGGATTTCATGGGGGCCTTGTTGACCTGTTTGTGAATTTTTATAAATAGAAGCTGAGTAAGCATTGTTTCTTTAAACTTGTAGCAGAGTAGCTACCGAGGTTTAGAAAGGGATTTGGTCAGAAAATATGCAGCAAAACAGAAGAAACTATTTTCAAGATAATATCGTTTTGAATAATCGTGCTTTTTGATCAGTGGTAGAGGAATGTATTTTTTAGAAGGTAGTGTTTATCACTATTTAGCTTCCTCTACCTTTCAGTTCAAATGTATATTTACAAAAAAAAATTTCACACCAACACCTTGGTTGAAATATACCAGTATTTTTATACCAATATTTTTTCATTTCAATTAGATATATCTACAGAAATAAATTACACTTAAGGCAAATGAAACTAAAATTCCTGGCTTCTTTATACCCTTCTAAAGAAATATATCTTAGCAGTGTAGAAGGACAAGCTGTTATAAAGTGTATCCCTGATTCATCTCCTTCAAAGATTTGTTTTACTTAAGGAATCATACCATACTTCTATCTCATTACTGGCTTCCTGCGTAGGTAAAGAACATGTTAGTTAAAGATTTAGATGTTAAGTAAATGTAGTTTGTGTCTATAGATGGATGGTAAAGCAAGATTACTCTTTTTTTTTGGTTGAGTTTTTGCATTAATTCAATTTCCTTCAAGAAAGCTGTACTTTCCAAGAATCATTAGGCTTGAAATGTAACTTTATAAGCTATTGCTGATTCTCCTTTACACGCTATTCTGATCCTTCCTTCTACTTTTCCACTATGTGATAAGCAGTGTGGGTAAGGAAACTTCTCCTGGAGAGATGTGTTTAGTCTAAATTATTTTTCCTTTTTTTTTTTTTTTTTTTTTTTTCCTGAGCAAACCTTTCTTCCTTCCTAGCCCCTCTGAAAAGAGGGCTTTAGCGGACCAGAGGAGTGTGAGGAGTTACAAACTCAAACTTTTCTGTAGGAAGGCGTTTAGAGAAAATTAGAGTTCATTATCTGAAAGATTTCTTTGTGGCCAGAAGGGATAATTCTCTGGTCATGAGCCAGTCTCATCAGAACACTAATATAACTGTAAATGGAAACAGTAATACAATTGTAGGATGCCTCACTTCTGCAGCCTCAGAGGCCTGGCCTGTTCATTTTTCCCATACTTGTAATCACTGGGGCCTTAGCAGATGAGCCTTTCAGGGTGTCAGTAGCATGACTGTGTTAATTTCATGAGAATTCTTGATGTCCTTGTAAAAACAACAGGTGGAGAAGTAGTCATTCAGCAACTGTAACTCTAAAATTAGACCAAAAAATACAATTCATTATATCCCTCTGTTGCCAACCTCTTTTTTACATTTAGGTTGTATTTTAAAAGAAAACATATCTTAGATGTCTTTTATTTCAGAATAGAAAAGGTCCATGGAGCAGGAGTTTCATTGTATAAAAAGTGGAGAGAGATTAAGGTCAAAGAGGAAAAAGGAGTGAGGTACAAACTTCTGAGGGAAAAGTCTTTAGATTAGCCAGTAAGTGATATCGTTTTTGATAGGGATCTCTGTTCCTCCCCCCCACCCCCTCCCCCAAGCAAGGAAGGCATGCTTACTCTTACTTGGCATGCGATTTTAAGATTGGTGTGAGTTATAAGAAAGATGTGGAAGGAGGCATGAGTGGCAATATGCAGGAGGCTGGAACCAGGTGTGATATACCAGTATCACCAGGAGGCTGGAACTCAGACTGGTAGATTATTATTTTTTATTAATAAAAGTGGCTTGTTTCAGATCCTTTAAAAGCAAGGGCCAGAAACGTACGATTTGATAGTATCTGTCAAACGCCTCCCTGGTATGATAAACACCCTGTACTGCTGAAGCTCTTGACATCTGGACTGAATTAAGTGTATCTAAGGAAGCGAGTTCTACCTGTGTACTGATCTATTTACCACTCTCTTCAGACTGCTTGCAGCTCTGTGCCATTTGTTCATCTGGGAAGTTGAGTTTGGTCATTCTCTCATACTTCAAAATGCCTTTGTTTATGAAATGAGGTGAGGTTTATAGGTAGAGGTATTCAAATCATGTAATAATTTTGAAGGATTTTTTTTCTCTAGACAGTAAATAAAGCATTCGAGAATAATACCTGCTTTTATGTGAAAAACCTTTGAAAGATAGTAAAGTTTATGCCCCCTTTTTTTGTGGGGTCTTGGCTTGCTGCTTCAAGACCTCATCTTTTTGTTTTATCCAAATCAGTGTATGTGGTGCCAGACTTCCTGGAATGAGATTGCTCAACTGAGTACAGTCCTCAGAGGGAAACCGACTTCATGTTCTTGCATGTGTGTGTCCATGTTTGCAAAGACGGGCACTCTTGATTTTACAACCAGTAAATAAATATTTAATCCTCACCGTGAGGATCATAACAAAGCTTGAGGGAAGTCAGAGGATCAGCTAAATACATTATCATTAACTTTCAGAGTATTTGTTGTGTGGCATTTTGCTGTTGCCACAGTTACGCAGCATATTTTGCAGAAGTTCTTGCTCAGTTACTGAGTTTCAGAGAACAGTATATTTGTGTGTACTGTTGTAGGCAGATTTGAATTTTTTTTGACCATTGATTTCAGAAGTTTGGTTATCTCACTTACTTTCCTCCTGAAATCTTTATATAGGTTTCAACTTTTTCATAGCTTTAGGACAGTGAAAAAGTGAGAGCCAGTTTACTGCATTTCCCCTGTGGAATGACACTGCAGAAGTGAGAATGCTTTTTAAGCTTTTCCCTTTTGGTATACTCTGTAAAAACTTGTGCGGAGGGCTTCTTTGATACAGTTTGTACTTGGATGAGGTCGAGGAGGATTCTTTCCTGCATCTTCACTGAGGCATTTTGCGTTGTGTATTGTAGTTAACTGTTACATTGAATTGAATCGTCATCCTTTCGATTGTACTTTCCTGAAAGAAAGCGCATTCCACTTTGTGTATTGCTGATCTATTCGGACTGTTTCAGTGACTTGGAACTTGTCCCTTGTGAGCATTGTTCTTGCTTTGCTCATTTGAAACAGTGGCATATTTGAATTATTTATATATGAGTATGTCTCTGCATATTGGTGGTGTTTTACCCCCACTCAGTTTTTTGGCAGCATAAGAACTGGGAACTGAATGTGAATCTTGAGAGACTTTCAGAAAAGTACTCCAGGAAAAGCACTTGCGTGAAGGTGGTGCTAGTTAATAACTCTCACAAACATTTTGGAGTTCTGTGAATTATGTAATTCTTCTGTGTTATATCTGAAACCGTCTCCGTAGTATTCCTCCTCGTTGCTAAACTCCACAGATAGCACTTCACACTTGAAACAGGTTGATTTTCATATAACTTTTTATTGCATATCATGTAAATAAAAGAATCATGGAAGACTTGCAAGCAAGGCAGCTACTGCTCACCACCTTGACGCAGGGCTGTCAGAGTTCTGAACGCTAATGGAGTAATCTTGCCTCAGCCCCAGCCCTTTTCTGACTGCCTGCCAAGTAACTGTAGCACTGACCTACCTCTACATAATAAATGCAAACTAATTTTGAATAATGAGGAAATACTACCAATAGTTTAAAAACATTGACATTGGCAATTTTATGTTGTTCCAGTTACATTTTTGTCTTTTGAGAATGCAATGTGCACTCTCAGACTGGTTGATATTTAGCTTCTAAACCAAATGAGCAGATTTAAGTTGTAGGAGGTTTTATTTCTGCCTAGTAACTTTGTTTTCCACCGTTGAATAGAATACGTGTAAGTGGTGGTCCTTTCTTACAGATGTGGAAAAGTAGGTCTTTGTTAATAGCCCTTCCTCTTCCAGCCCTCACTAATTCTTCCTGAGGGTTTCTAGAGATCAGGTAAGGACAGTTGTTTTGAATTAAGACATACTGATTCCCTCTAGGCATGGTTCCAGGCTTCTGATTATGTTAGCACTATGTAAATAGCTTTCAGGTTTTGGGGGGGCATCTCTTCCAAGGTGTATTCATGCTGACTCTGTCTGCATAGTCCTCTGTTTCACTCATATCTGAATTTGCAGTTCTGTTCTCTGTATTGAAAAGCTACTCCTGTACCTCAGCGTACAGAAAATCCAAGGAACCTTAAATGCTGCTTCAGAGAACTAGGACTTAATTGACTGGGAACTTTTTCTGGGTAGCTTTGCCTATGATACTTGTGTGTGTCTGTGTCTGTGTCTTAGAAATAAGAGTCCAGGTTCAGAATGGAATTTAAGTTGAGTGTGATAGATAATTTGATGGACCAACTGAAATGGTCGGTTTGTCAGACAGGGTCTCCTTTTTGGCAAGGCTGCCTGTCTGCTTGGGCATTTTCTGCTGCCCCTGGAAAGGGGATAGCTTTCTCTCATCCTCCAGCACAGAAGTTCTCCTGAAGTAGTTTCTGAATAAGAGGGACAGGGACTTACTGAACATTTTTGTTCTGCAGTGTATTGCATCTGTGGAGCTGTACTGATCTGGTGTCTTTAACTGTACTTACAATCATCATACTAATAAGTTGGGGTATCTTACACTGGTCATGGAGTGTTAACACTGAAAACTTCTAGTTATTAGTAAAACACTGTAGGTTAGCTGTCTTGTTGAATGTGCAGCATGTACAGCAACATTTTATAGGTGTGTTCATCTGGAGAATTAATTTCTTTAGCTTAAGCTGTATCTTTTGTATGGCTGCAGAAACGAAAGAAATGCTGTTCTGTTCTTTGTCATGTGCTGAAGACAGTTCAATAGCAGAAGATGCAGTGAACCTTGAGAAGATGCTACTTATACCTGCAGAAGGACATATTCCGAACGCACATTAGATGGATATTGCCTTGTAGTGCAGAACATAAGTTCTGATATTCATTGAAATTTGTCCAATTTTTAATTAAAATAGAATGTTCAGAATTCTGTGTAAATATGCTATTTGTCAGTAAGTCCTAGCAAGAAGTGTCAGTGAAAGATTTTAAATTATTTGCTCAAGAAAGCTGCATTTTTGTCTCGATGGGCAAATTAGAGTAAAGCTTATTCATCTTTCCTGTAGAACACACAATCCCTGAAGAGAAAGAAAGGCATTATTCTCTTGCATAGTTTAAATGTTCATGATTAGTTTGGAGAACTGCTGAAATAGCAACTTAACGGTGCCTGCTTAATCGGTGGTCAAAAAGTGGCTAAATTCAACAAGCCTAAGGGTTGAAGCTGGTGTATAACAGATCTCAGATTCCTTTTTCTTCCAGGCTTTTCTAAAACTTATTGCTAAACAGTGGTTCAGGTATGGCACAGATATTGTCATATTGAGTCACTTAGTGCTTCTAAATCACTGTTTTAAGTCTAGCTTTAAGAGTAGAGTGCAGAGTTCAGTTTTTGAAAACTCTTAAGCCAGTCTAAATTGTTGTAGGTGACCTTGCATTAAGAATAATAAGGCTGGCAGAAAAGTGAAGGTTTGGCAGCACCATGAACCTTTGCTGCTATTGAGCATTAGAAAACTGTTCTGTTTGCTAATGAAAATGAAATTTGGTTGTTTGTCAGTTCAGTAATTGAACGCTTTCTGAATATCAGCATACGCCTCCTGCACAGCGTTAAAAATTATCTGTTTTGATGAAATGCTGGATTAATGTGTCAGTGATTTCATCTATGAAAACCCATGTGTGTGTGAATGTAATAATTCATTTTGCTGCTAAAAAATAACCTGTCTGAAAACATTTTCTTTTCCAGATTTGTACTATGGTGGAGAAGCTTTCTCTGTAGAGCAGCCACAGTCTTTTACTTGTCCTTATTGTGGAAAAATGGGTTATACGGAAACATCTCTTCAAGAACACGTTACTTCTGAACATGCAGAAACATCAACAGAAGTGGTAAGAAGCTTCAGAGTTGGTTTTCGTTTGTGATGGTAGCATATGAAAAACAATCTCCTAGAAAATTAGTATCCCCCTTTGCTTTTCTGTTTTTTTCCTTGAAGCATATGTTCATTTAAATGCCCTGCAGGAAAATGTGTACCTACATTTGAAGGTGACATCAGAATTTTTCTACTTTTTAAGGGTATCCTGATATAATGGAATTGTGTGGGTTTTTTTTTTTTTTTTTTTTCTGGAATGGTTGCCACTTTTGTTATCCTGATAGTCAAGCTGCATTGTTTAGGTGTTTTGCTCTAACACAATATTTATAATCTTCTCATGGTTATTCTGTGTTGTATTCTATGTCTCCCTTTTTCACAACAAAATTGCATAATTGTCAGACCAGTTCAGTGTCCTGTAAGACTGTAGCTGTGCCAGTCCTCTGTAATTCTGAGAGAGGGGAAAGTAGGCAGCTGTTTTTAAGCAACTTTCTAATGGACTTGGTATATTTGTGCATCAGAAGTTGTTCTGTTGGAACTGTTGCTGTTAAGCCAGGGGTTTCTTTCCACCTCTCCCCATTATAGAACAATTGATAGAATTAAAAATATATTTCCATAAGTATGTCTGTAGACATTTGTTTATCTGAGATGTTAGCTCCAGTTATCCTGTTTGTCTTTGGGACTAGGTTAGCCACAAATAACTTGTTTGGATACTCATATCACGTAACTTCCTGATTCTAAAGCATTATCACAAATTATTTTCTTTTCTGGAAAAAGCCTTTTGATTATTTAAAAAAAGAAGGCTACATATGTGGGTGCTCTTGAGATTCAGATTTATGTATAAGGACCTGTGTGGTGTGTGTGTGTGTGTGTGTATATTTTTATAAAGATAGGGCTAATGTGGGTTCTCCCTCCTCCCCAAGTAAATAAAAAATTATTAAATCTTGTGGAAAAACTTTGACAATGCTAGCTCATTCCCTTACGCAAAAGTAATACTATAATTTTTATTGATCTACAGAGTGGCATTTGCTGTTTCCTTTCACCTCACCATTTGCTCAATTTTTTGTTGATGTCAGTTATCAGTTAATGGTGGTCATAGTTTTCATTTGTACACCATAGACCGTACTGGAAAAAATGGTTTACTACTGCTTTTTACTGTGTCTTGGTCTCCCTAGATGCAAGTGCTGCCTGTGCCAACATTTTTCCTAAGTACAAAATACATTATCTGCTATGTTTTTTAAAATAAAACAAAGCCAAAAAATCTGGGTTTGTTCAGGAATAATTTTAAGTTTGATTTTGATGCTATTAGAAAAGCTTATCCTAGGCCTTCACTGCAGTACTAAGACGCTAAATGCTAGTGGTGCTTGAATGTTCAAGCTGTTGTTATTCTAGAGAGGAGTCTGTAGGTCTTGTTTTTAGATTACATTTATGTTTTATATTTATTTTCAAAGTCTGTCACATTAATTCAGTGGCAGCCCTAAGTTAAACTCTCAGCCAAGAGGTTTGGCTATCTATCCAGCGGTGGAGAATGAATCTGTGCTTGTATATGGATGCTGTAAACACTAGAAGAAGGTGTAATTACAGAAGGACCCCCAGGGTATTCTTGTCCAGTTACAGTCATTTTACATTTCTTGGGTTCCTAGAAAAATGTGAATGCTTGAAGCGAATGACTCATTCATTGTAAAAAAATACTCATGCATTGTTTAAAAAAAAAAAAAAAAAGACTCATGACTTCCGAGTTCTCTGTTCTGGTCCTCTTCGGTTCTTTTTAACTTTCAAGGAATTCTGTGGAAGAAAAAGAACCTTTCCTCCTAGAGGCTGCTAAGGATCTCATGTGAAAGAGTGATAGGGGAGGTAGTTTGCCCACCTTCTTGAGACTCAAATGTATTCTGATCTCTCCTAACAACATAGGGAAGCAAACTGTATCAGTTCATATCAGTTGCACTGTAGAATCGTAACTCATCTTAGTGACGCACTACAAGTTTTGTCATCTTGGCTTCTCTAACTTTGCAAGTTTTAAACATAGTGTCAGCCGTTGACAGTTCCACATTGGATGACTCTGTGGTGGCTTGGAGCTGTAATTCTACTTTGTACCACTTGGTGTCAGTGATATGTTCCAGACACAGAACGTTAAGATTCTGTGTTATTAAATTTGACATATTCTTGTTTCTACTATGACTTCCAGAATTCAGTTCATAAAGCCTAAACTTGTCATTTCAAACACCTGCTACTCCTGAGTAGAAACTCAGAAATCAGAAACTGATTTCTGAGTTGTGTGAGAAAACACATCTTTCCTGTTTTATTGTGGGTCAGTCTTCAGTGTTATCATACCTACATCTTTATTCCAAACTCATGATAAAAGACAGTATCTTAATCCTTGAATATGTTTGTATGTGCTTGTGCCGTGTTTAATCTAGCTTTTGCACTAAGTGTTTAGTGTGAATACACATACAAGTGGGTGGTGGAGTCTTACTGTAGCTAGTAAAAGGCTGTGTAACGTTACTGAAGAATCCATATTTTCCTCTAAATCTTTGTGGCCCTAGGCTTTAAAGCAGTTATTTCTGTTTAGATACGTTCGTCCTTATAGTGGCTCTAGATATTTAAAGATGTTTTTATTTGCTAGTTTTAAAACAGGCTTGCACGGATGGAATTATATATATATATATTTTGGGGGGGGGGGGGGCCTTGGTTATTTTTCCTTTTTTTTAACAGTAAATACCTGTTGCTCAACAGAAAAAAAAAATGCCCTCTTCAGATACTTTTACTATTATTTTTAACAAACAAGGATTGAATTCTGTCATTTTTGCACTCGGAGTAGCACAGGTGAGAAGGCAAAACTGACAGTTTTCTTGGATATGTGGCATTGTTACATAGATGACAATGTTTGATATCTGTAGGGGGGACAGTTTAATATTACCTTAAAGGTAATTGCTTAATTGTAGATACTTTAATCGAAAAGTTATGGAGATATTTATGGAAGCAATCGTAAATTGCATGATTATTTAAAGTCTTCAGTGTTACCCACTCTAAAAAGTAAAAACCGTATGATTTAGATGGGAACTAAAACTTCAGTGATTATCAGCCTTTCTTCTCCAATAAATGGCCAATGGTAATAGTCAGGAGTACAGTGCAAGTGCAGAAGAGTATGGTTGTCATTGTGATGATCGTTACTGTTGCTGTTGAATTTCAGTGAAGTGGACTGATGAATAAAATGCAGGATTCAAGTAGAAGTCTACTAGCATTCATTGCAAATCTAAAAATACTAGGAAACTTCTTAAATGTCATATCTGAATCATGCTTTAGAGTAAAGGCACAATTTTTCTGCTATTACATTACATTTAGCAAATTTCTCTCGTGCTCAGCAAGGCAGTAACTAGACTCCTTATGCGTGAGCTGTAAGAACCAGGTTGTTGACATGTGAAGGCCGATGAGAACTTTTCTTGCAGTAATGAAATAGAGGAGACAAAGTAAATGGTTCCTGTTTCATTCTTGAAGGTTACAGTAATTCCTGTTAAGTGCAAGTAACGTGCTTTCTGTAAGCTCAAAATAATTATATACCTGGTATATAAATAGGGAGGTAATGGTAATATGAGAACACTTCTGGAAACAGGCAGGTATACTGTCAGAGCTGCAGCCTAATTGACCTGGAACTTTGAAATCCAAATGATTATTACAAAATAATATGATTTGTTAACACAAAAGATGGTAACTTTCAGGAGAAACTTCTTGATACTGGTTTGCTCTGATCTGTGTCACTTACTGAGGCACGTTATATTAACAGTGATTTTTGGCGATGCCCTGCCTGATCAGTGATGCTCCGGTCTTTGTAATGACTCGTGGGCACTTTGCCAATGCAAATGCTTCGAGAAATTCTTTTTTTGTGTATAACAATGCTCTACTAACTTTTCCTAATGAAAAAGCTCTTGAATTCTGTGCCTGCGAGAGAATTAGGGTTAGGACCCTAATTTTCCCCTTACTCTTCCTTTTAACTTTTTCTAGATGATATTTTTCTAAAGACTGTCTCCTCTCTTTTCAGGGAAATACGGGCTGTTCATAATTCCATTGTTCTGTTAAATTGGGTAGACCTTTCTCTTGCTTTGTTACTTTCCAAAACATGTTGTTTTTTCCATGATGTGATTCTGCTTACTCGGTGAAAAAAGGGGGAGAGGGTGCTTTCTTGATTGAAAATTAAGCTGCTTGTAAGAAAGATCATGGACTCTATATTCATCTATCCTATATATGTACGTTCCTGTCTCCCTACTGAGTAGCTGTATGATATATTGACATAATTGGATATTTATTACAACCAAATTGTTGGGGAAGGTCATTGTTACTCTCCTCTTCAGAAGAGGAGAGAAAAGTTGTTCTTGTTTCCCCTCTTAATTATGGTGCAGTGGATTTGAGGTGAGAATTACTTTTAGAGATAATTTGCTTGATAGCAAAAGCAGCGCCTAAAAGTGAAAATTTCATAGGAGAAAAATATATTTCAAAACCATGGATTTAAAATCCCAGTTCTTCATGTAGCATTTAATCTTTTTCCATTCTTGATTTTGCTCTGAAATTGCATGATTTTTGGCAGGTACATGTGCCAGAGCGGTTATAAAAGGTAACCTGCAAAGGTGAAAATATTGTCCTTAGTTCTGCTTATATATCGCAAAGGGGTTTCAAAGGTTACGTTTGGTGGAGTTTCTAGTTTGGGGGCGCAGGAAAGGGTCGTATGCCTCTTTTCTCATGAAATTCTGGTCTTCCTTAAACGCTTGGGTTCTGTTCCTGTAAGGCTTTTCTCTGGCATTTGAAATTGGTAGCTCTGCAGTTGACCCACTGCATTACTGGTAGCTGTGTTCTCCCTCGTGCCATAATAAAATGTCTTTGCTCTACAGTGTCTGCTTGGTATCGCCTCTGTAGCGATGGGAAGACTGGGAAGAGTAGCTGTAGCAAGAAGTTTTTAAAATGCCTTTCTCTTCAGAGCTGATTTCTTAAAATTAAACTGGCATTAAGGATGTAGCAGCACTCTCAAAGTCAGATGAGCCTGTGCAATAAATGTATTCAAAGACATTCTCCTCCTCAGCTCCGAAAGAGGAAGACAGATGTGTGTGCTGTCACATGTGTGTCCTTAATACCCAACAGCATTTGAAGTCTCCTGTGAACAACTTGAGTATGTGCACGAAGAGCAGCAGGAGCCTGAGCTTTGTATTACAGCGAGGGCTGCTCCACAAAGACGAGACCACTGGAATATGAGAAGCAAAGAGAGAAACGTATAGATGGCAGTTGTATTTAACTGTCTAAGTGCTGTTAGTAGTGAACACTTAACATTTGCAAGGAAAAAACATTTTACGTGGAACGAATTTTTTTTCTTCTTTTTGATCTGTGATGTGTAGTAAAAATCAGCTTGAAAAGCTTCTTTTTAAAAAAAAAAAAAAAAGAAGACCTGCTCTTCAAGCAGATATTCAAAGTCATTCAGAAAAAATAAGAGACCAATGACACTTGTAATGGCACTGGTCTGCTTCGGTTAGTTAATGTGTGTATTGGAGTGGGAGAAAAAAAAAAAAAAAAACACAAACAGACACATGCACACACTGATGTGCCTTCTCCCAAAATACTGTTGGGTCGGGATAAGGAGATCGGCCCTTCTCTTTCAAACCTGTGATTAGATGCTACCTAGTTGGGTGGCTTATTTAGATACTTCGACAGATACTCACGTCTGGTCTCGTTCTGCCTCCTGCAGTTCCTCTGCCAGTATAAATGAGAAGTTCTTTATGGATTCAAAGAGCAGTGACTAAAGTCAGTATTGTCACAGGAAGGGGCAAGCGGGCACATAGCAATCCTATGTAATCAAACCCTACTGGCCACAGTTGGCATGCAAAGATTAATTTTCAAGACGTTGCACATTGGATTTAAAAGTTCTACTTCTGGTTTTTAATAGTAGCACTACAATCATAAAGGAAAAGATGTTGAAATACTTGTAATGTGATTTTTAAAGTATAAGCATCAGTGTCAAGTGCTTGACTCAGTGATGTGTGTTCTGCATTTTGTTTAAAGTTGATAAAGTTGGTTTGTTTTTTTTTTTTCTAACTTTGTTATTTCAGATTTGTCCAATATGTGCAGCATTACCTGGAGGGGATCCTAATCATGTCACAGATGACTTTGCAGCTCATCTTACACTGGAACACAGAGCTCCTAGAGATTTAATATCCTTTCCAAAGTTGAGCAAAAGGGGGTAGACTGATCAATCTAATAGGTGCAACTACTTCTTTTGATTTTATAGTCAAGTATTCCCATCTCTGGTGTTCCTGTGATATAGTTACTTGAGATCTGTATGTCAAAATTAAAAGGTTAATTTTCTAGTTAAAAATACACATATCCTATTGTGAATAGACTGTAGGTATACTTGACAGTGTTGATTCTCTGATAGCAGAAGCATATAAAGAAGTTTCTGACATGATGTCTTTTCTACCTGTGCTACAGTTTATCTTCCCTGGTCATTAGTTCTGATGCTATTTTGTGTACCTGAAATCCAGATTCAGTAGTATTCAGTAAGTGATTATGTGACCAGAAGTGGATGATTTTTAAATTTCTTGTTTAAAGCCTAGTTGTGTTTTTCTCTAACAGAAGTCACATCCGTAACTGCTAGGTAGCCACACAGCGAAGGTCAAACTGTGGGTCTCCGGCACTGGCCTAACAACTTGAGTGAAGTCAGCTCTCTAGGCCAGGATGAGCACTTAGTTGTCACATATGGCTGCACATACTTGTTGTTATGAGTGCTGTGCAGTCATTGCAAGACATGTCCTTTTACCTAGAAACTGTGGCCAGCTCATTAAGGCCCGGTTTCTTTCCTTAGCTTGAAAACCTTTGAAATGTATTTAACGTGGCTTTTTAGCCTCAGTCATACAAACAGTTCCAGCTTGGCTATACTCAGCATAATCTGTATGTAGCAATTTATGGCTTACAAAGGCTTTTCTTACTCCAGCATACCTGGTAAGACTTCTGTGCGTTCTTTCTTTTATGCTGCTGTAAATAAACTCCCTATAGCTCAGTAATAAACTTGGCTGAACATACATTGTCAGAAGTTTCTAATTAACTGGTAGAAAACTTTGATATAGAAAATAAGAAATCCATCTTGATATTTCTTAGACATAGTAAAAAGCTGGAGAAAGATTAGGAGTTTGGTGCACCCAGCACTGGGTGTCGTGAGTTCATATCTGTAAGTCTGATTGGCAACTGTAGCTGCAGTGCACGCTAGCTTCACTGTAAAATTTGCATCACTTCACTGAATGAAAGAGTAGGAGGTCATGTTAATATTTTGCATAGCAAGAGCTCTTGCCGTTTAATACCCATCACTAATTGTTTTCTTAACTTTGTGGTTATGATGAATCCAGTGGTGTTCGGCATGTACGTAGAATGTTTCACCCAGGCCGGGGGCTGGGAGGCCCCCGCGCGCGTAGATCAAACATGCACTTTACTAGCAGTTCCACTGGCGGGCTTTCATCTTCTCAGAGTTCATATTCTCCAAGCAATAGAGAAGCCATGGATCCTATAGCTGGTAAGAGTTGTAACCACAGGTTTTACCCCAGCGTCTTTCTTGTATAGGCTTTTAGATGTAAAATTGAAGCTACTAACGATTGCCTTGCTTTTCTGTGTTCTGAAACTGCATTTATAACGTGCTCCACAGTGCAAGTGTAATCGATGGATGGTTACTGATGAGCTGTGCGCTTCACTTGGGTTGTCCGCAGGGCCTGTGCCTTGAACTTCTGAGCCTGAAGTCGCTACCTCTTCAGCTTGCGCTTTTAGTTCTAGCAAATATAAGGCTTACTCCCACGGCTAATCTGTCCACAGATAGTATGTGTTTTTACCCATATTTGTTTTTAACTTCCATGATGTACATTGGCATGGCTCATCTTAATTTGCCAAGTGTGTGAAGGTGTTTACGGAAGAGATTATGAATTTCAGTTTCTTGGAGCACAGACTCGCAATTCCTGAACGGTGGGTGTACAGTTCATGAAGATGAAATCAGCTGAATCTGAGTGTTATTAACGGGCATATAGAATATGCTCAGTTTATGTTCAGAATGCAGTTGTAATGCCAGACTTGCTCGTTTCAGAGGTTTTTTAAATTTGGTTGTAAACGTATTGTTACAAGCATTTCTAGCATATTGTGGTCAAGTTCAGGAGAACTGCGAAGGGAAGAAGGGAGTCTCCTTTTCAACCCCATACGATCACAAAGATGCGCTTTTAGGGTTTCCAGGTATGACTTGTTTAGTGTCTGTTTAGTGTTGATATGAAAATAACTTTTTACAGAAAAAAAATTGAGAAAGAAGACTATTCTAAGGACAAAATTTCTCCTGATGGAAAGTCTTAACATTTTTGTTTTGTCTTTCACCATGCCAGCACAAATACCAGGGAAACTTCAGAACTTCCTGTTGTTCTCCACCTTTGCTTCAGATGCTGAGGCACATAAATGCTTAAACTGGAACTTGATATTGTTAGGGTATGACTTCTTGAGAGGTAGTCAGCCAGCCTAATAAGGCTTTGTCCCTAAAGGGAGCTGCGACTCCACTACCTTTCCTATTTCTTAGTCTCGGTCCCCTTGCCATTTTTGCTGGCTCTGGTGTTCTGCTGGACCTCTGTGACCTATGTAACGCATTAAATTAGCTGTGGAAACTATCACTACAAGACAGGAAAACAAATGAGTTACATGAGGTCACAGGAGGGTCTGAAAAGTAGTCGAGCTTGTTCGAGAAGGAAGGATGTTTGCATAGCCTGGAGTGCCAGACCTCCTCTTTTTGTTACAACCGCTGTTACATCAGCTCAGTTAAATGCAAAGCGACTGCTCTGGTTCGTTTTCTGCCTCACAAGGCCTTCCCATTTAGGGATGTCAAACGTGCAACAAAACAACGTTCTTTTCGGTCTTTTCTGTTGCGGTGGAAGTTGCGTTTAAGCCTTCCGTTCAGTTTGGGTGTCCGTATCATGCCAAGCCTCTGTCTCAAGCTCACAGCTGCTTCTCAAACATTGTTTAGCTCTACTCAAAGCTGTAACTTCCAGTAAGAATAAATGCAGCTACGTCTTGCCTGGCAGTTTTATGTCTTTCCTTTAACTGGAGTGGTAAATGGTGAAGACCATCTGAGGTTGCAGTTGTTATTTAAAATAATTTTTGTAGCATGTGTAGTCGCACTTTTCTCCCTGAGGGGTTGTTCAGTAATTAAAATGAAACAAAAAGGTATTTAATCGTGATAAGGTTGTCTCTGCTGATAAAAGTGACTGTCTAAAAGTTACTGACACAAAATTACTGCACTTTGCTTTATTCCTGCAATGAAAATCATATTTAAAAGGATTATGTTTTGTTACGTCAGGATGATTTTCTGTCTCTTTCACTGTAATAGCTTTGTAAAAAGAGGGGAGGGGAGAGGAGAGGAACAGCATCATCCCCTGCTTCCTCAGTCCTTCTTGAGTCAAAGTACCACCTCCACGCACCTTCGGAGTGTAGAAGAGATTCTGCAGTAATGTGCTGAACAGTAATTTACTGCTAATATGTATTTTGAAAAACTTTTTTTAATGGTAAGATCTTCTCTATGCTTCTGGCAGAAGTAGAAATTCATACAATAAAAATGTTTTGCAACAACAGCTTCCATGTCAGGCAATACTTGAAAATCTTTCCTTAACTGAAGGAAGAAAGCATTCAGTCAAGATAACTCAAATAACTGATTTACAAGAAAAAAACGTGATTAACTGAATATTTCTCTTCTCCACAGCGCAGCTTCCCTCGGGAATTATTGGCCAGGTGAAGCCTGTGTATTGGAGGCCCATTTGTTGAGAAGAAAATAAAATCCCTAACCAAAGCCTAACTGAAGTGGCTTCTTAATTGCTATTTTGACTTGAAGTAACATTTTAGAGAATTGCTGCAGACGACTTGACTTACAGAGCATTCCTTATAGATTGTCTCCCTTATTGTTTAGAAGGCTTTAAACTTTGACTTATTTAGAGTAAATCTGTGCACAAATGAATCTCAGTCTTCCTTACCCTATGAGATGGAAAACGCCGGGCCTTTTTTTTTCCAAGGGCATCGTGAACTCTCCAGCATTATTTGTTCTTTGGTTTCACTGGTGAAAAAAGTAATTGATACACTGAAGTTCAGGATGTATTTGTTCTGTTGTGCAATATTTGTTTAAGATATTTCAGCACAGAAAATTTTCTCTTCTCTGGCAGAGCTTTTATCTCAGTTATCAGGCGTGAGGCGTTCTGCAGGAGGACAGCTCAATTCCTCTGGCCCTTCTGCTTCTCAGTTACAGCAGCTGCAGATGCAACTGCAGTTGGAGCGACAACATGCACAGGCAGCAAGACAACAACTGGAGACTGCACGCAATGCAACTAGACGCACCAACACGAGCAGTGTCACCACCACTATTACACAATCTACAACAACAACCAACACATCTAACACAGAAAACAGTCAGCAGACTATCCAGAATTCCCAGTTTCTTCTTACAAGGTAACTTGTTCTATAGATTTGCTTTTATTTCTCTTACCGTTTCTGTTTTCTTCAGTCCCGATAGAGAGTTTAGTGAAACTGTCATATGTTTGCCCTAGTAAACTGAAGTAGGGTCCTTTGTTGTGAATAAGTATGTCCCAGGATTAGTAGGCTAATAAATCATCAGAATATATAGATGCTAAGATCAGTAGCTGTCCGAGATTATGTAACTAATAAACTGAAATCTAAAGGAAGACTACGTAACTCTTTGAATTAATGTGGCACCACTAAAAGCAATAAGCTTCATCCACTGAATCATTCTTAAACTTATTTATTCCATCAAACATGCTTAAAGATGTGGTGGTAGCCTGCTTTACTGCCATATTCAAAATATCAGAGTAAATGTCACATCTTTTGTGGATTGTATTCATAAGAAATGTGATGTTTGGGAGCTTTCCAGTTGTTTTTACATACAGGTAGGTGTTTTTATATAAAATCATAACAAGTTCAGCCGTTTCCTCACATTGTCAGGCAGAAAACCAAGAATTTAATATCCAAGCTGGCCTGAGCAGAATTCTTCTGCTTTCAGAAAGCCAACTCCAAGAGTTGGCTGCAGGAATATTCAGTGGTGTTCTAGTGTGTGCAAAACGAGCAGCAGTTGCACAAGCACATACACACAATATATATATATAAAATTATATATATATATATATATGTAATTTTTTTTACATGTCTAGGGATGTGTTTAAAGGCTTAGACTGGAATGTGAATTAGTTGTTTTCTGCAGACCCTGAAAAGGAAGCTAGTCTTACTATTTGAATTTTGGCTCTATAAACTGCTTCTGGTTCCAGGCGGGGGACTTCTGCCAGATCCCTGATCAAGTCTGGAGTTAAAATATACTGTGCTTTTGTTTGCATTTGTAACATCTCCTTTTCAACCCTACTGTGTGTCTGCTCCTAGGCAATGGGTAAATATTATTACCTGCTTCTCTATTTCAAGAGGAACAAAAGGAGCGTTACTTAACTAACTGTGCTCATTTCCCCTACTGCTCCCAACAAAACCAGGGCATTTACAGTAATGCAAGCATATAAATTTGAGCCATAATGTGGAATGAGAACTCAGAAGGCAGTATTGTTTAATAGGAAATGAATCTTTAATAAAAGCTGAAGGTTGAATAAGCATTTCTATATTGAATATTTTAGAGAATGAATAACAAAGCAAATAAAGGATGCCATTAATAAGCAGTATACATAGCTGTTGTAGAAACTATAATCAGATCACAGGGTTGTTTTATAGAGGAGTCACCACTCTGTCGCTCTGGTTCTTTTATCAAATTCGGAGTTTTGACCTTCTGAAATCAAAAGGTTTCCCACATGACCCTTCCCCCGTACCCTAAAACATGCATTTTTTTTTTTTTTTTTTTCCCAGCAAATCATAGTTTTTCTGAGAAAGAGCAGGGCCATTTTAGCAGTTCCTATACCGAGAAACTCGGCTTTGGTTCAACCTTTTGATGTCACGTCGTGTTTGATGTTTTTTAATCTAAATTCAAAATAATACTATGTGGCATCTCTCCGTCAGAAACTTATTTTTGAGAAATTTAATTGAAGTATCTGGAAATGTCACACAGCCACTGTCTTTTAGAGGTAGGCTACAGTAGGAGTGAGCAATTTCCTTATTAGTAGAGGCACTGTCCCCTAAGAGAAGTGGCGGAGTGAATGGTGTATTGTGCTTTGGGGATCCGTGTAGGAACGATGTGTGTAGGAACGTGTTTTGTGCTGCGTGTGAAGTTAGGAGCTGACCTGGAGACAAAACAGGCACCTAATGGGGGTCCGGGGAATCCTGGTACCTCCCCTAAAAGACTTCTTTGAATAGCAGGAAACTTCATGAATAGCTTTGTGTTTTCCTTTAGCCTTGGATTCACTGCTGTGAAGGCTGTCGTAGCAACTAGGGCAGAAGGTCTGCTAAATGTGTGTTTGTTGTGCTGGGGTGTCAGGTGTTGTCAGATCTGTGCCTGTCCAGTGACGAGCAGCAGTATCCAGGCTCTTCCTGGAGGAACAGTTTGCGAGGGCCTTTCAGCACGTGTCAGTAGTGTCATCAGTGAACTGGGCTTTCACCAACTGCCTGTCTTGTCTCTTTCCTTGCTGCTGTGCAGGTTGAATGATCCTAAGATGTCAGAAGCAGAGCGTCAGTCAATGGAAAGTGAACGGGCAGACTGCAGCCTGTTTGTTCAAGAGCTTCTACTGTCCACTTTGATGCGGGAAGAAAGTTCCTCCTCAGATGAGGATGAGCGGGGGGAGATTGCCGATTTTGGTGCTATGGGCTGTGTAGATATTATGCCTCTAGATGTTGCTTTAGAAAACCTAAATTTAAAAGAGAGTAATAAAGGAAACGAGCCTCCTCCACCTCCTCTTTGATGACATCCCACTTCGCAGACAATGTCCTCTGTGCTGTATTTGCCAATGAAAGTGGACAACAACTATCTTGGGTTTGTTTTGGTGATTGTAATTTCAGGTCTGTCACTCTTGTTACATTGTGTACATTCAAAAGAAAGAGAGAAAAGATATATATGATAATCATTTCCACTTAACTAATTTTTACTTCTAGCAGGCAAATGTAGGTTGCAGTGCGGAGCAGAAAGCTCTGTGTCCTGTACCTTGACATGCGAAAGGCTCTCCTAATACTCCACATTCAAACTGAAGAGGAAAAAAATGAAAAATCTCTAATGAAGCTGCTGTGTGTATTTATGAATATTAATGAATAAAAATTGCTTGGATGGTTTACCTTAACTACTGCATGACATTTTTTGCAGCGTGCATGAGTTCTAGTGACCTTGTCATTTAAAAAATTAAATACAAGGAGTAAAACTAAAAACCCAAAGCTTTCCCATTATTCAAAGGTTACATGACAAAAAAGTTAGCGCTCACTAGCAGTGTGTGGCCACGAAGTAGCTTTTGAATAATATGTGACTGAACGACATCTTCATGTGCTGTTCCTGCACATAATGGAAACTCTGCAGTGGGATATATTGTCGCTACCAGGGTGTGGCGTTTTGCTGTGTGTGACCATTATGTTGCCGTTAGTCATCACGTCCATGTGGAGCTGAACTTCATTTTATGCATCTGTAGGAGACACAACAGTAAGGCCACTGCTGGAATCTACTGCAAAGGGCTTTTGTGTGCCCTGAAATCAAATGTTGTTCACTTTTGTTTAAAGTTTTCCTTTCTGTGGTTGTTAAAATTTTTTAATTGTTAACATGTTTTATTCAGGTGTAGATGATTCATATATTCACTGTTTAAAAAAAAAAAAAAGTTAACCTGGATTATGTTGTCTCAGTTTAAAAAAACTTTCACAGTCTCGATCATATTTTGAGTTATTTATGTGTTTGCTTCATAGTTTGCAGAGACCTATCAGTATCAGGAGAGCTTGAGGATTTGGCTTCCCAGATTGTCAGTATATTACAATTGAATTCTTAATGCTAACTTTAGCACCTTTTATTTATTGTTTCTTTTTTGTTGTTGTTCTGGCATAAGAAAGTTTAAAAGCCTTTTAGTTGAATCATGCCACCTACATGCCTATACTGTTAATCCTATATGTTTCAAAAAAAAAAAAAAAAAAAAAAAAGGG